TGAATATTCCAGAAACAAACGTGTAGAAAGGTACAGAAGCATTTGCCATAGGTTAGCCACCTCCAGTAATGTGGGGGGAGGGGGGGATGGTGGCAGTGTCTAAAGAAAGCCTCAAAGAGCAAACAGTTGTCAGCCCTCGAAAGCAAGGGTCGGCTTATGAGTAATTCATCAAGTAGGAAGCTTCCTGACCCACTTACCTGCCTTTACCTGTTCCGATCATGAAAAGGTCAGACACCCCTAGCCAGCAAGGGAAGGAGTTCTGTGTGACACTGGCAGAGGAAGGTGGCTTGTTTTTCAACATGCTCCACTCTGAGAAAGAGAGGCAATCCACTACAATTTGAATTTTAATTCATAACTGAGCTATCAAACTCCTAGCAGAAATTGTAATCCAGATAATTAAAACTACAGAGAAAATCCAAGGGTTTATAAATTGATACTATGCTGTAACCCTTTTTTTTGCTTTTATTTATTTTTATGTAATTTTTTAGACAGAGTTTCGCCATGTTGCCTAGGCTGGCATGCAGTGGCCTGATCTTGGCTCACTGCAACCTCTGCCTCCCTCTGCCTCCTGGGTTCAAGTGATTCTTCTGCCTTAGACTCCCGATTAGCTGGGATTACAGGTGCCCACCACCCTGCCCAGCTAATTTTTGTATTTTTAATAGAGATGAGGTTTCACCATATTGGCCAGGCTGATCTCTAACGACTGACTTCGTGATCCACCCACCTCGGCCTCCCAAAGTGCTAGGATTACAGATGTGAGCCACTGTGCCTGACTTCTAACCCTTATACTTAGAATGTTTGCTTTTCTCCCAGGGCTGGACATCATTCTCAGGCCAGATCAGCTCTCCTTCCTCCATGATGCAGACCAACAGGAAGTAGGAATGAGAAAGAGGGAACAAACTGAGGGTGATCCTGAGTGATCGGGAAGGGGCTGATGGCAATAATCAAAATACAGATGCGGGAGAAAAGAGCAGGTTTGGTGGTTGAGATAATACATGAGTTTAACTTTGGTGTATGAGTTTGAGACGCCTGTGGGATAGAAAGGTGAAAATCTTCATTGGACAGCTTGGCATTCAGGAGGGAAGCTTAGAACTCACTAGGGTTAGAATCATCAACATATTGGTGGACTTGATGTCTTAGGAGTAGGTGTGGTTCACCAAGAACACTGAATCATTACTTTTAAAGGAGTGAGGAGTGATTAGTGGAGGAGCTTGTAAAGAAACTGCAGAGTAGATAAGGAAAAGAGAAAAGTGAATTTCCTGAAGCTGAAGCAAGAGAATCCCTTGAAGAAAAAAAATGATCAATTGTGACAAAATTCTACAGATGTCATGGAAAGGAAATATTGCATAGTACTGATTTAACTTCAGAGGACTACAGTTATATCAGAACGCCTACCTTGTGAAACGAAGTTGGGAGTGAAAGTCTAAAAACAGCAGATAGTGGAATAAATGGGATGTGGCAGAATGCAGGTAATTCGTATGGACAACTCTAGAAATCTAGCATAGTGAGAAAGGAGGGCTTAAAGATGGAAAGGGTTAAGGGAAGGGACCCTAATGTTTTCTTGTGCCATGAACTCCAGTGGCAGTCTGCTAAACCTTCTGGATCCCTTTTCAAGAATGTTTTTATTTTCTTTGTTTGTTTCTTTCAAGAATGTTTTTAAATGCAAAAAGGATAATAGGAAAATAAAAATCAATTTGTTATATCGAAAAATCATTTATCAAAATAGTTTTATAAAAAACTATGACAGAACAATGTATGTGCATCTTTGTCAATCCATTAATTATTGGCAGGAATAATACCATAATTTGAAAGTAGTGATGAGTGCAAGTAATATTTCTAGATATCTTCAGCAACCTTTATATGATAAAAAAAATGACTGTGATTTGGTGACAAAGTTACATGTACTGCAAAGAACACTGAGGTTTTGTACCCTACATATATAATAGAAAAAGTTGAATTTCAGCAAAACGTTGATGAATGTATATATTATTTATAATATATACCATATAAAAATTATATATAATATACATTACATATTATATATATATATATATATATATATATATATATATATATATCTTATCCAAATTCATCAGCCCTCCTGAATTCTATCCATGGTTCCTTGAGAAAGGAAGGGATCCAGGGATCTCAGGTTAAGAACCCCTTGCTAAGAAAGAAGAGAGGTTTTATTTATTTATTTATTTAAAGAGAGAAAAGTAGGCCAGGCACAGTGGCTTATGCCTGTAATCTCAGAACTCTGGGAGGCTGAGGCAGGTGGATCACTTGAGGTCAGGAGTTCAAGACTGGTCTGGCCAATATGGTGAAACCCCATCTCTACTAAAAATACAAACATTAGATGGGCATGATGTTGCATGCCTGTAATCCCAGCTACTCGGGAGGCTGAGGCAGGGAATTGCTTGAACCTGAGAGGTGGAATTTGCATTGAGCTGAGATTACACCATTGCACTCCAGCCTGGAAAACACAGCAAAACTCCATCTCAAAAGAAAAAATAAAAAGAAAGAGAAAAGTTGTTTGTGAATAGTGGAAGGTTTTGAGTCTTACTATGGCAGTGTGACAGCATAATACCGTGTGTAGGGGTAAACTTTGGAGCTACCCTCCTTGGGTTTAAATCCTGGCCTTTCTATTTATGAGCTATGTGACATTAGGCAAGCTATTCAACCATTTAACTTCCTTAGGTCTCAATTTCCTTCTCTGTAAAATGAGGATGATAATAAGAAGTCATCTAATAGGTGGTTGTGAATACTTTAGCTATTATTATCTTGACCACTTTGCACTCACTCAATACCCCTGGTCACACAGAATGCCTTCATTCCTCCATGTACCACATTATTTTCTTCCCCCAGAGCTGCTGCTCACATTGTCTTTCAATCTGGAAGATTCTCCCACCTGTTCTTCACCTGACTGACTCCTCCACCCTTTGGGACTCATCTTAACAACTCCCTCCTCAGAAATCCTTCTTAGAGGTGTCTCTGAAATAGGCCTCCCACAATTACTCTCTCTCTTAGCATTCTTCATCATGATTTGTGATCATTTTATTAGTTCTTATGTCTGTAGCGAGCTCCATGATAATGGAAGCTGTGTCTGTCTGGGTCCCCTCTGTTGCTACGTGTCCACCACATAATAAGCTCTTGATAAATATTCACTAAATGAACCATTGAATAGGGAGCAACTGAAGTTATAAGGGAGATCCCTGGCTACGTGCCTGTGGGCAGTGCATCAGCTTTTGACGTAGGTATGGGTTTCATTAGTCTGTTCTCAGTCGTGTTCTGGAGCTAGTGGAAAGCCAAACACATTGCTTACATTAAAATGTTTACAAGATAGCATTTAGCTTTTCTTCACGTACTAGAAGAACCCTTCTCTCCATCCTAGGCTGAACCAAGTAAAGCAAGACCTGCATATACAATTCTGGGCTGTGGTATAACAGTTCACATTCATGTAGGCAGTACATATGAGCTCCATGAGTAATGTTTCCACCAAGCCAGTATTTTGCTATCCAAGTTCTTGAAGAGGCACTAATCTAGCATTCAGGAGCCACGCTTCCAGTTCCTGTTTAACTTTTCATGTTCAACTGGGTGATTTTATGCAAGTCAACCTCTCTGGGCCTTGGTTTTTTCATCTTACAGATAGCAATTTAAAAATACTTGTTGTGGCAGAGACTCCTAGCTATTCACCAAAATCCATTCTTTATTTCATAAAACAAGACTGTAATTCGAAACTTCCCTTGAGGCAGGTGTGATTCAGGTCTTGCCAACAGAATGTAAACCAAGTGATGTTTGCAACCTGTGTTTACTTGCTCAAGACTCTTTAGTCAGGCTGGAATGTCAAGGACTGGAGCAATCTCAAAAATGGCGCATTAAATATAGTAGAGCTGCTGTCACACTGGAGTCCTAAATGACTGTGGGGGAGAGTCACCCATTGACCTGTAGCCTTTGGTTAGGACTGTTAAATGAGAAAGAACGAAGCCATTAACTTTTTGGAATATATTTGGTACAGCAGCTAGAGTTTGTTTAACTAATACATATGCCCTATCTATACTATCAATTGTGAGACAAAGATCTAATGTATGGGAATGAACAGTTTTGGGAGGTGACAAGTGCTGCAGACATTTGTCATCATTATTACTATGGAGAAAACAAGTATCTAGTAGAATGTCTGACCTAGGATGTTTAGTATCTGTTGAATGAATGCATGAATGTCTTGCTGAAAAAAGGTCTGAGATTTAAAAAAATCTACACCCGACATCGTGGCCGATGCCTGTAATCCCAACACTTTGCGAGACTGAGGTAGGTGGATTGCTTGATGACAAGAGTTTAAAATGGGCCTGAGCAACACAGCGAAACTTCATCTGTACTAAAAACATAAATATAAAAGTTAGCTGGGTGTGGTGGCACACGCCTGTAGTCCCAGCTGCTCAAGGGGCTGAGGTGGGAGGATCACTTGAACCTGGGAGGCAGAGGTTGCAGTGAGCCAAGATCACACCACTATACTCCAGCCTGGGTGACAGAGTGAGAACTTGTCTTCTTTATGCCTCAGTAAGAAAACTGTAAAATGAGGATAATAGCAAGACCCTATCTCAAAAACAAAAAAATCGGTACAACACAACATCGCTGGCAGTGTTTGTTTGCACAGGGAAAACCTTTAATTAATTCACTTGTACTCATATGTGTAAAATAAAAACCTATACATAGAGGCTTCTTTTAAGATTATTATTTCCTTTTTAATGTTTTTTCCATAAAATGATAAAATACTAAAGAACATTTTGACAGAAGTGATATGAACCCTTAATACCACTACCCAAAGACAGCTCATTCATTTTTGCCTGGTGCCTTCTAACTTTTACCTATGTGCATGTCTATTTTTAATAGTTATAAGTCTGTTTCTTTTTCTCCTTATTTTAAATAAATTTTAATTTTTATTCAGTAAGGAAGGCACAGGCTTGAAAATTCTCCAGAAGAAATTTCAACAAAGAACCACCTAATATTTCTAACAGTTCCAATTTAATTTTGCCAAGGGGGTTCCATTCTTATTAAAAAGCATACCGGGGAGAGAAGGTGATTTTCATAAGAAAGTACATGGAGTTGTTAATTCTGACTACAATTAAGGTGATCAAGATTATAAATGTCACAATTTTTCTGCTTTCTATTTAAGAGCTAGCTTGTGGGTCTTACAAGGATTACCTGGAGGGCAAACGAGTGCATGTGGACTGTATTCAAGGATATAAATGAATTTAATAATTAATTCAACAAATATTTATTAAATACCCACTACATCTCAAACAGAAGGTGAACTATAATGAATAAGACACCATCCCTACCCTTGAAAAGATTATAGTTGGGATAAAAAAAACAAACCAGAAGATATTGCTGTGAACTTAAAGTAGGGGTAAGGCCAGGGAAGGCATGTGGAGGAAGTGAGACCTGACATTTGGCTTGAAGTTAGACAGACAAAGGGGTAGAAGGGAGGTTGCCCAGTCACTCAGGTCAGAATAAACAGAAGCAGGAAAGAGCATGGTGTTCATGGGACTGTAAGTTATTCTATATGCCTAGATGTTAACAGAGTCCACTGGGGTGAGAAGATGAGAATGGTGTGGTAAGCAGAGGTCGTACCATAGACAGTGGTAAGCTTCATCAGAGTAGTAATTATGTATGTTCACTGCTGCCTCAAACAGCACCTGGCACATGGGTAATCAATCTGTATTTATGGAATGAATTAACCTATACCATGCTATGCAGTTGACTCACAACTGGCCATAGGGATTGGCCTCTTGTTGCAAAGGAAGAGCAAACATGGCTGGGAAGGGACGGCTACTCTTCTCTCCAGAGCATGCATCTATGCTGATGTTTATTGGTATGCTGGGTATGCACGTGACCACTGACTGCTTTTCAGCACAGAGATGCTGCTTTAGTCTTGCTGTCTGCTGCTAAACAACAGAGATGAGACAATGGAACCCTGATCTGAGAATTGTCTCCTTACCCTAATTTCATTTTTTAAATAGCATCAGGAATGCCACAAATGTAGCTTCTTGGGACATGCTTGTAAAGGAAAAGTACTAATGTCATTTCCAACTCCTAATCCTAGAGCAGAGTTAGGGTGGAAGGGGAGCTGCAGAAGAAACAAGGGGAAAGACTGAGGGGGAAGCTGTAAAGACTTCTTTTAGTTATTTCTTTGCTTCCTCAGGTTTATTGAGGCATAGCTGACAAGTAAAAATGGAATATATTTAAGGTATAAAATGTGATGTTTTGACATATGTGTACCTTGTAAAATGATTGCCACAATCCAATTAATTAGCATATCTATCAACTCACACAGTTATCTTTTCTTTTTGTGCATGGTAAGAACATTTACAATCTCTCTTAGCAAATTTCAAGTACACCACGCAGTATTATTAACTATAGTTATGATACTGTGCATTTGGTCTCCAGATCTTATCATGACCGGAAGTGGGTGCCCTTTGTCCAATGTCTCCTCATTGCTCTCAACCCCAGAACCCTGGCAGCCTAATTGTTTTTTTATCCTTGATTGTAGTCCTCTCTATTTTTAAAAGTATTTTTAGCTGAAATTGAACATCAATGATGTAAAAGTACCAGAAGTCTTACTCTCCAGGGAGATGAATGGATTAATAAACTGCGTCTAGCAATACTGAATAATTTGGAGGCAAAAACCAGATTTGACTCACAACAGCCCAGCAGGGTGGCTTACTTTGGAAACATTTTGCCAGCGCTCTGCTGAGCATACTAAAAATGCATGGTGCTGGCTGACTTCATGCCGGGAGCCCATGGATTCAGCTGCTGAAGAATGATGTGAAATTAAAGAGAGAATGAAATGTGTGATCTTATTTAATCACACCTGGTGCTTCAATTTCTTAATAATAGCACCCTGCTACACTGTCGAATTGGATGGATATATGCATATATTTATGAATTATCGCTAGAGGATGGATTAACTCTCTAATGCCTGCCAATCCATTGCAGGGATCTAAAATGCAAATGACAACTAAGTTTTCTTATAAGGAACTGTTCCAGGACCAGGATTGACATAAAATTACCATGACTTAGAGGAAAGCAGTGAAATGTCACCTCCTAAAAGGAGCCAAAAACTCAGGGTCACAAGTTGGGGGAGGCTTGGGGAAGATTATCTATTTTTTCACCCAAAGTGTATCCCTGGTTATACTCTATGTCTGCTCTGATGACTGAGTGACTTACATTACTTTAGATTTCCAGTAGGATGACGAATACCAAGAAGGGGGAAAGACAGCCATTTCATCTGATTTAGGATTGTGTATCTATGAGGAATTTAAAAGTTTCTAAATCTGTATATGAATTGATGCCTAGTATATGAATTGATCACCATCCTCCCTCTAGTTCTCCAACTAAGGAGTTGTTACTTTAAGGTATCTGGGGGTTTGTCCTGAGTATCAAACACAACTTAATCCTGCTGGACCCACATATGTTTCCCTAGTTAGTCAGATACTTTATGGCAATGGGGTGCAAAACTGGCCTAATAAATCACTTTCCATAAAAGACAGCAAGGTGCAATGTCTAATTAAGAAATGCTTATTATGGCTACATCTTTCATTCTTTTGGGGCAGGTGGATGCCTTCTACATGATTCCATTTAGCAGCAAAATATAAATGCTTAGATATAATTAGCTTAACATAGCCAGCTTTACATCCATTTACAGTGAAGCAAATTAATGTTGAAAGCAACTAGAAAATAGCTATTTTGGTCCCTTCTGTAAAGTGACCACGCAGGGGCCTGCTGACATACACATAAGAGATCCCCCACAGATGCACTGCTACCTCAAAGATTTGTTTAAAAAGATGGATTCGGTGAGGGAATTACATAGGGAATACAACAATGGACTGCCCAGAATTGTAATGTGATTGATTTTTCAGGAGCATGGGCTTGCAGCTTTTTGTTTTTGTTATTAAAACAACCTCCTAAAAAAAATAAATAATTCCTACTGACAGAGATCCAAGTAATTGAAAGTGCGCTTGGTTTCTTTCTTGCTACTGAAAATCTAGAATGTGTTCTCCATTTCCACAGCCTTTCATCACAATGTTTTGGGATGCTCTGATTTCCTCCTCTGAGGCTTAAGGCCTCCTGAAAGCAGAAAACCTGACTCATCTGTCTTTATCATTCACATTCAAAGCATAAGTCATAGTATCCCCATGCCATAGACACCCCATAAACAGGTGTCAAACCATTACTCCATGTGGATTGCTCTGGAGAATAATCAGCTGTCTCCCATTATATAGAAGAAAAATAAATAAATGTCAGGGGAAGGGTGGAAAGATGGCAGGAAATCAAGTGAAGTTTCATTGAAATTAATTCTCTGGTACTTAAAATAACTTCTAAATGGATTCTTTTAAAATCATGGAATAAGGTAATAAAATGTTGATTCAAAATAAAGACCTACTTATTTTGACATATGGCACATATCTGTGGCCCCTTGACGATCTTAAGTAGTATTCAGGGTTCAAGGCCCCTTGGCAGGAGGGTGGGTAAATCTGACTGGTAAAGATGGCCTGATCGATGGGGCTTGCACCAAGGTCCTGACGTCTCCCATTCAGAAGACAAATCTTCAGCTTGAAAAGATGTGAATGCCAGGGATGTCTTTTAAGGTTTGCCAGATCTCTTTTCCATATTCAAAATGCAGACTATGGGTGACACATTTTCACCATTTAAAGAGTCTTATTGTAGACACTACATATTTATAATCAAATATATAACGATGTAACAGACAGTTCACATATATCAATAATTCCTGATTATATCTTAGCTCAAGAATAACATGGTCTGCTCTCTTCACCTCTTTTGAGTAGACAACCAATAGATATGACCATGCCTCCTCCCTTCTTTAAACCCCACAGAAGCTTGCCCTTACTTTTAGGAAGAAACCAAAACCAAGTACTGCTTCCCTTGGACCTTCCTTACTTTGCACTTCTGCTAATTTCTTCACTCCAACTTATCTAGTCTCTGGGCTCTTCCTACAGGCTGTGCCCTCTATTATGTTGCTATTCTCCTACTTCTCTGCTTTTCTAGTTTTTCAACTGCGTTTCAGATTACTGGGTGCTTCATTAATAAATCCTTTCCATGACCTAGCAATCTAGATTCCCTCCTTATGTACAATTATAAAGCAATTTCTTTACAACTGTTACTTAATAATGATTTGTGCAATTCTTTAATGATTATGCTCTATTCTGTATTTTAAGTGTGACGATAGGAGTGAAAAGGTATGTGTTGTTCGTTGCTGTGTCCTTAGCACCAGGCCCGGCACATAGGAGGTACTCAACAAATACATGCTGAATGACTGAATGTGTCTTCAACTTCAGGTGACCACATACTTGAAGCAGCAGGCAGTGTGATGTAGTGCACAGAGGGTGGATCTCAGGCTGGGTTTGAGTTTAGCTTCTGCCGTTGACATCAAGAGTGAGAAGTCATGGAACTCACTGAGTCTCACTGGTCTCATCTGTTAGTATGATGGCACACACATAGCACTGTTGAAATGATGCTCTTCCTTGTTCGTAGTCATATCATGGGTCATATTGTCATGTTTATAACTCTACCTACCTTTTTTGTTTCTAAGGGAAGATCTCACATGCAAGCAAGCATCCCATCTTCCTACCTTAAGTAATCCAAACAGGAGGACGAATAAGAAAAAGCTTCTCTTAGTGGCAAAGTAGATTTTAAATATAAAATGCTTATGAAGGAATTTTATAAGCATCTAGAAACCTGTATTAGATGCCATGTAAACAGTCTCAAATTGAGGAAAGACATGTAAATCACCTCCTAAGAGTGTAGCACTGTGGTTTACTGAAGATTATGTAGAAGAAATTTGGGAAAAGTATAAAAAAAATCACTAAATGAGGAAGTTGGGCAACATACATGAATGGAAGGAACATGGTACTCTGGGGAAGCCCCTTTACTATCTGGGACATAAGGTCATCTAAGGCCACAGTAGAGTGGCCTACAGAAGAGACAGGGAGTGGCCAGTCTTGGCAAATTTTTCTCTTAGTTTATTTTTCTTTTAGTTTTTTTCATATTATAAATCATCATATATATAAAGGAGTTATTAAAATTGTTGTGGTTAAAATTATTATAAATGAAATTGTTATATCAAAACTTAAGTTAAAAATCATTTAAAAATTAGTATTACTATAAAAAGTCACAGTAAAACAGACACCCGTTCATTAGCTCCTGACCTTAAGAAGTAGAACATTAGTAGCATCTTCAAAGGTCTGGAGTGCATCTCCTGATCCCCATCCTTTATGCTCCACCTGTGGTAATCACTATGCTGTACTTGTGTTCATTATCCACTGAAAAAACAACCACTTCAATCACTTAAGTATATATCTCTAGTGTAAACAATGTACTGCTTAGCTTTGCCTGATTTGTGAAATTTATGTGAATGGGTCATTACAGCATGTTTTCCATTATTTGACTCTTCTGCTCAACTTTCTTCTTAACATTTATCTATATTGATGCACATGGCTAATTAGGTTTTATCTTCCAATGCACAGATATAGCACAATTTATGTCATCATAACTGCAAATGAATGATGGATTTATGTATAGTTTTGGCTATTACTTGACTTTTTTGTGAACTTCCTCCAACATCTATGGGAAAATTAATAAGGACTGAGATCCAGGGGCCAGGGCAGTTTGTAGAAGGAAGAACTTGCTTGTATGCAACAACATGTAATGTGTAGTGTAGGAAAGAAAATGCACATGACTTAACTACACAAAATTCCCATGAAAATGGGGATTTTTCTCTAACTCAGTTGTGACCAATGTGACCAATCCTAAAAATAGAATCATGATTCTGCAGAACTGGACAGGACATCGTCCCAACCCACATACGTTCTAGCTAATTTGCATGGGTAGACATTTCACTTAAGACATGAGACATAGCTACATTGGATTAAGTATACATAAGACATGGAGACACGGGTCCTGATGCAAGAGTTCCTGGATATATAGAAAAATGTGAAAGCAAAGCTCTACTGCTGGGGCTGCTCAAAGTTGTGACTCTTCTCCATGCTCCTTGGGCTGCTGAATGACAAAACTTACTATGTAAATACACATCATGCAGATCACAACTTAAGAGAGGCTGGGAATACAGAGAAGTCAGCTAAGATACCACTAAAGAGTAAGTTATAAAGTAGGTCCCCACCATGGAATGAAAAATGTTCCTAAACACAAACAGAAGAAATAAACATAACATACAAAAGATTAAACAATCATATACTGATTGCTAGAAAAGACGGCCAAATAGGAACAGCTCTGGAGTGCCGTTTCCAGCAAGAATGCAGAGGCCACTGCAGGTGATCCTCAGGCAAGCAGGGTCTGGAATAGACTTCCAGCAGTCCTAGAGCAGAGGAGCCTGACTGCTAGAAGGAAAACTAAAAAACAGAAAGAAATAACTTCGCCATCAACAAAAAGGATGTCCACTCAGAGACCCCATCTGAAAGTCACCAACGACAAAGACCAAAGGTAGTTAAATACACAAATATGAGAAGAAACCAGTACAAAAAGGATGAAAACCCCCAAAACCAGAATGCTTCTCCTTCTCCAAGGGATCACACCTCCTCACCAGCAAGGGATCAAGCCTGGATGGAGAACGAGTCTGATGAATTGACAGAAACAGGCTTCAAAAAGTGGGTAATAACAAACTTCTTTGAGCTAAAGGAACATGTTCAAACCCAATGCAAAGAAACTAAGAACCTTGAAAAAAGGTTTGACGAAATGCTAATGAGAATAAACAGCTTAGAGAAGAATATAAATAAATTGATGGAGCTGAAAAACACAACAGGAGAACTTCACGAACCATAGGCAAGTTTCAATAGCAGAATTGACCAAGCAGAAGAAAGGATATCAGTGATTGAAGATCAACTCAATGAAATAAAACGAAAAGGCAAGATTAGAGAAAAAAGAGTAAGAAGAAATGAACAAAGCCTCCAAGAAATATGGGATTATGTGAAAACACCTAATCTACGTTTGATAGGTGTACCTGAATGTGACACAGAGAATAAATCCAAGCTGGAAAACACTCTTCAGGATATTATCCAGGAGAACTTCCCCAACCTAACAAGGCAGGCTAATATTCAAGTCCAGGAAATACAGAGAACACCACAAAGATATTCCTCAAGAAGAGCAATCCCAAGGTACATAATTGTTAGACTCACCAGGGTTGAAATCAAAGAAAAAATGCTAAGGGCAGCCAGAGAGAAAGGTCGGATTACCCACAAAGGGAAGCCCATCAGACTCACAGCAGATCTCTCAGCAGAAACCCTACAAGCCAGAAGAGAGTGGGGGCCAATATTCAACATCCTTAAAGAAGAGAACTTTCAACCCAGAATTTTATATCCAGCCAAACTAAGCTTCATAAGTGAAGGAGAATTAAAATCCTTTAAGAACAAGCAATTACTCAGAGATTTCATCACCACCAGGCCTGCCTTACAAGAGCTCTGAAAGAAGCACTAAACATAAAAAGGAACAGGCAGTAGTAGCCACTCCAAAAATGTACCAAATGGTAAAGACCATCAACATAATGAAAAAAGTGCATTAACTAATGGGCAAAACATCCAGCTAGCATCAAAATGGCAGGATCAAATTCACACATAACAATATTAACCTTAAATGTAAATGGGCTAAATGCCCCAATCAAAATACAAAGACTGGCAAACTGGATAAAAAGTCAAAACTCATTGGTGTGCTGTATCCAGGAAACCCATCTCACCTGCAAGGATACACATAGACTCAGAATAAAAGGATGGAGGAAGATTTACCGAGCAAACGGAGAGCAAAGAAAAGCAGTATAGTTGCAATCCTAGCCTCTGATAAAATAGATGTTAAACCAACAAAGATCAAAGGAGACAAAGAAGGGCATTATATAATGGTGAAAGGATTAATGCAACAAGAAGAATTAACAATCCTAAATATATACACATCCAATATGGAAGCACCCAGATACATAAAGTAAGTTCTTAATGACCTACAAAGAGACTTAGACTCCCACACAGTAATAGTGGAAGACTTTGGCACTCCACTGTTAATATTAGACAGATCAATAACAGGAAAATTAACAAGGATATCCAGGACTTGAACTCAGACCTCGAACAAGCAAACCTGATAGACATTTACAGAACTCTCCATCCCAAATCCAAAGAATATACATTCTTCTCAGCACCACATCACACCTACTCTAAAATTGACCACATAATTGGAAATAAATCACTCCTCAGCAAATGCAAAAAAATGGAAATCATAACAGTCTCTCAGGCCACAGTGCAATCATATTAGAACTCAGGATTAAGAAACTAACTCAGAACTGCACAACTTCATGGAAACTGAACAACTGGCTCTTGGATGTTGATTGGATAAACAATGAAATGAAGGCAGAAATAAAGGTGTTCTTCAAAACCAATGAGAGCAAAGATACAACATACCAGAATCTCTGGGACACATATAAAGTAGTGTCTAGAGGAAAATTTATAGCAATAAATGAGAAGAAAGGAAATATCTAAAATCGACACCCTATCATCAAAATGGAAAGACCTAGAGAAGCAAGATCAAAAAAACTCAAAAACTAGCAGAAGACAAGAAACAACTAAGATCAGAGCAGAACTGAAGGAGATAGAGACACATAAAACCCTTTAAAAAATTAATAAATCCAGGAGCTGGTTTTTTTTAAAAGATCAACAAAATAGACCAGTAGTCAGGTTAATAGAAAAGAGAGAAGAATGAAAGAGATGCAATAAAAATGATAAAACGGATATCACCACAGACTCCGCAGAAATACAAACTATCATCAGAGATTATGACAAAAAAATCTATGCACATAAACCAGTAAACCTGGAAGAAAGGATAAATTCCTGGACACTTGCACCCTCCCAAGCCTAAATCAGGAAGAAGTCAAAACCCTGAATAGACCTATAACAAGGGCTGAAATTGAGGCAGCAATTTATAGCCTACCAACCAAAAAATCCAGGTTCAGATGGGTTCACAGATGAATTCTACAGGCATACAAAGAAGAGCTACTACCACTCCTGAAACTATCCCAAACATACAAAAAGCTCCCAAATCATTTTATGAGACCAACATCATCCTGATACCAAAACCTGGCAGACTCAACAAAAAAAGAAAACTTCAGGCTAATATCCATGATATCATAGATGCAAAAATCTTCAATAAAATACTGGCAAACTGACTGCAACAGCATATCAAAAAGCTTATCCATCACAATCAAGTAGGATTCATCCCGGGGATGCAAGGCTGGTTCAACATATGCAAGTCTATAAACGTAATTCACCACATAAACAGAACCAAAGACAAAAATCACATGATTATCTCAATAGATGCAGAGAAGGCCTTTGACAAAATTCAACAGTGCTTTATGCTAAAACTCTCAATAAACTAGGTATTGATGGAACGTATCTCAAAATAATAAAAGCTATTTATGACAAACCCACAGCCAATATCATACTGAATAGGCAAAAACTGGAAGCATTCCCTTTGAAATCTGGCACTAGACAAGGATGCCTTCTCTCTCCACTCCTATTCAATATAGTATTGGAAGTTCTAGCCAGAGCAATCAGGAAACAAAAAGAAATAAAGGGTATTCAAATAGGAAAGGAGAAAGTCAAATTGTCTCTATTTGCAGATAACATGATTGAATATTTTGAAGACCCCATCGGCTCAGCCCAAAATCTCTTGTCACTGATAAGCAACTTCAGCAAAGTCTCAGGATACAAAATCAAGTGCGGAAATCACAAGCATTCCTATACACCAATAACAGACTTAAAGAGAGCCAAAGAATGAACTGCCATTCACAATTGCTAGAAAGAGAATAAAATACCTAGGAATACAACTAACAAAGGATGTAAAGGACCTCTCCAAGGAGAACTACAGACCACTGCTCAAGGAAATGAGAGAGGACACAAACAGATGGAAAAACATTCCATGTTCATTGTTAGGAAGAATCAATATTATTGTAAAAATGGCCATACTGTCCAAAGTAATTTATAGATTCAATGCTATACCTATCAAGCTATCTATGACCCTCTTCCCAGAACTGAAAAAAAACCACTTTAAACTTCCTATGAAGCCAAAAGAGAGCCTGCATAGACAAGTCAATTCTAAGCAAAAGGAGCAAAGCTGTGGTATCACACTACCTGACTGCAAAGTATATTACAAGGCTACAGTAATCAAAACAGCATGGTACTGGTACCAAAACAGAGCTATAGACCAATGGAACAGAACAGAGGCCTCGGAGGCAAGGCGACACATCTACAACCATCTGATCTTTGACAAACATGACAAAAACAAGCAATGGAAGAAGAATTCCCTGTTTAATAAATGGTGTTGGGAAAACTGGCTAGCCACGTGCAGAAAGCAGAAACTGGACCCCTTCCTGACACCTTACACTAAAATTAACTCCAGATGAATTAAAGACTTTGAATACCATAAAAACTCTAGAAGAAAACCTTGCAAAACCATTCAGGACATAGGCATAGGCAAGGATTTCATGACTACAACACCAAAAGCATTGGCAACAAGAGCCAAAATAGACAAATGGGATCTAATTAAACTTCAGAGCTTCTGCACAGCAAAAGAAATAATCATCAGAGTGAACTGGCAACCAACAGAATGGGAAATATATTTGCAATCTACCCATCTGACAAAGGGCTAATATTCAGAACTTATAAAGAACTAAAACAGATTTACAAGAAACAAACAAACAAACCCATTCAAAAGTGGGTGAAGGACATGAACAGACACTTTACAAAAGAAGACATATATGAAGCCAAAAAACATGAAAAAATGCTCATCATCACTGGTCATTAGAGAAATGCAAATAAAAACCACATTGAGATACCATCTCATGCCAGTTAGAATGGCAATCATCAAAAAATCTGGAGACAACAGATGCTGGAGAGGATGCAGAGAAATAGGAACACTTTTACACTGTTGGTGGGAGTGTAAATTAGTTCAACCATTATGGAAGGCAGTATGGCAATTCCTCAAGGACCTAGACATAGAAATTCCATTTGACCCAGCAATCTTATTACTAGGTATATATCCAAAGGATTATAAATTGCTCTATTATAAAGACACATGCACATGTATGTTCATTGCAGCACTGTTTACAATAGCAAAGATCTGGAACCAACTTAAATGCCCATTGATGGTAAGACTGGACAGGGAAAATGTGGTGCATATACACCATCGAATACTATGTATCCATAAAAAACAATGAGTTAGTGTCCTTTGTAGGGACATGGATGAATCTGGAATCCATCATTCTCAGCAAACTGATACAAGAACAGAAAATCAAACACTGCATGTTCTCACTCATAGGTGGGTGTTGAACAATGAGAACACATGGAAACAGGGAGGGGAGCATCACACACTGGGGTCTGCTGGGGGGACTAGGAGAGGGACAGCAGAGGGTAGGGAGTTGGGGAGGGATAACATAAGGAGAGGTGCCAGATATAGGTGATGAGGATGGAGGCAGCAAACCACATAGTCATGTATGCACCTATGTAACAATCTTGCATATTTTTCACATGTACCCCAGAACCTAAAGTGTCATTATATATATATATAGTGAAATACTTTGGAAGAGATTTATCAGAAGAGAAATACAAAGGTTTAATGTATCCTCAAGGTAATTATTCAAAACAAAAACTTGCAGAAAGGCAGGCAATGAGGCAACAGATTGAGATAAAAAGGTATCTCATAAAAGGAATATAAACAAGCAAATAATTCCATTGCATAAATTAAAACTGAATGAAAAGCAGTAAAGAGGAAAATCACCCCTTAATGAAACAGATTAAACTAGGAAAGTGGGACAGTGGTTCCCTAAGTGATGTAATCATGAGAAATATGAAGGGGAGAGTTGGAAAATTACCTGTTAGGTCCAATGTTCACTATTTGGGGGACGAGTATACTAAAAGGCCAGATTCCACCACTACACAACACCTGTGTGTAAGAAATCTGCACATGTACCTGCCGACTGTATGCAAATAGAAAAAAAGAAGAAATATGAAGGGCAGGGAAAGATACATGAAAATATACATTCCTAGGGTCAAATGTAGGAAATTTTGATTCAGTGAGTCTTGGATCAAGCTAAGAAATCTGTATTTGCAAAAGTATCCTGAGATGATGCTGAATCATCTGATTAATCTGGTTTAGAAACTCACAAGGTCAGCACATACTTGAGATAGTCACCAGAGTTCAGAGGCAGGAAAAAGGCAAGTGAAAATAATTAAAGAAAAAAAAGAACATGGTCATGGTATACACAGCAGATGAAGATGTATACACAGTAGATGAGGCAGCAATTAGAACCAAGGCAACAGAAACCATTTCAAAAATTTATACTGAAGAAAATTTCCTTTAGATGAAAAAATATCTTTAGTTTAAAAAGATTTACTATAGACATACTGAAATTAGAAAATCGCTTGGATCTACTGAATATTAACTCTAAGGAAAAGACTCTTCTCAAAGTCTTGTACAAAGAAACAGAGCCCCTGAAAGACAAAGATGTCAATGGCATTTGTCTAAGTGGTTTTCAAGGAGAATGGTGATTTTATGATTCCTGAATTTCTTTATTGGCCCAAGCTGTCCATAATAAGTGAAGGCAGCAAGAAGATATTTTCAGCCAGGGAAGGGCTCTAGAGTGCTGCTGTCCTTCATGATAACTGAGACTAACTAAGAGTGTGGAAACAGAGGAATATAAGCATTTTAAAATAACAATTTCTAAGAAGAATGTAAATATTATTCTTAAAACAAGAGGTCTGCACATATGAGAATCAATAATTCAGTTCATCTAGACTGGGACAACAATCTTAAACTAGAATCACAAAAACTGGAATGCTGGGATAGTATGTGTGGGAAGCTGAAGGAGGACTGTATGGTAATGTCTTACGTGTACACAGGTGGGAATCAATAGATTGTCCTTAATATTCGTAATTTGAGAAACCAAGGTTTAGGACACAGATTTTAAACATGTGTTAGTATTAATTAAACATCTGACAGTAACTATCAGAGGAACTTAAGACAGGTCCCACACCATCCAAATTCCTCACGTTGGGTGAGGGAAAGAAATTAAAAAAAACCCAACAAACTCAGGCCATATAGCAAAACTAGCTCCCCCTTCAAAGAAAAAAATGGGGACGAAGGGAAAAAAATTAAAAAGTCAAGTGCAAACTGAGAGAATAATACCTTTTGTAAATATATGTACTTCTGAAGGACTGAAAGTGTATAAAACCAACATATTAGGCCATTTCTATGTTTAGAGTAACTTTAGGCTTTTTATTTTTGCAAAACTATTTAATTCCCTGACAATGATGCATTACCTGTGTGACTGAAAATGAAACATAAACCTAAAATTCTCCTTCATTTGTATGAATGAACACTGATCATGAAGCCACTCACTAAAACTAGAAATGACCAGCGTTGCTACCATGGCTGAGATTGGCATCGGCAGTGATTATTCAACTTGTTTCGCTAATTTGACTCATTTCTCAGAACAGGATGTGCAGGTGTCATTTGTTTATTTAGTCACAACACTGATTACTCTTTACAATGGTGCTCGTCCCTGCTTTTTTCAGCAACAGCATTGCAGTGATAGGAAGGAGCCCTGGGATGATGGCCTGTGTGTGCATGCAGAGGGCCTGGGACCTGGGCTCACAGCCGTGTGACACTGGGTGCTCTGCTGCAGGATCATCCCTTGCAGGGCTCTGAGGGTTTACTGTTGACATTTCAATACTGTAGTAACATATGCTTTTCTGCTTTTCTCTCTACTTCAGTCTCAGCCCTCATACTTGCCCCATTACAAACTACAAACTCCAGCCATACCAAACAAGTCATTTCTTGAATCTCACCAGCATCTCTGGAATGCTTTCCCTGTTTAGTCTCAGTTTTGGAGTCTCCTGTTTCTTGACTGCTGAACCTCCCCCTTTTAAGGGAAGTTAGGGGCCCCTTTTGGTGACCTCATATTTATCTCATGCTTAGTCATTTGTCTCCCCAAGGAAATGTCTGTCTCATGACAGAAACACGGGACTCTAAGGGCAGGGAATGTGTGCTATTTGCCTTCCAGCGTTAGCACAGTGCCTGAAAAACAGAAGGTACTCACATATAGTTATTGCAGGGAGGGCTTCTCTGAGTTGATTTACTCCAGCTCCCACCTCCTCCCTCCTTCTCTCACAACTCTTTTCCTGGTGGGAGAGAACCTAAGCTCTGAAACCAGTGTCTGCTGGAGGCTTGTTCCCTGAACTTCTGATTTCCAACAGTCACCTCCTCCCTGTGCACAGTTGAGATTTTTATGCAACAAAATAAGTTAACAGGGGTTCAGTGACAAGTTTGCTGTGTTATGGGGCTTCAGCTGCACTGAAAATCCTTCTTATCTACCTCCTACACCAAGTCACACCACTCTCTGGGTAGACGCCAACACCCTCAGCTTTCTGTATTACGATCCCAAGTGTGTCACTTCTGAAAAAGAAGGAATGTTCACAAATAGCTGATGCTGATGTTGAATATTCCCAAGTTGAATTTCTTCACCAATACCTGTCTTTTAGAATAAGTAATAATTCTTTTGTTTTTTAAACTTACAAGTCAAGGCCAAGAAGGAGTGTCCCATTTTCAGGACAGGTCAAAGGAGTATTAAATACAGAAGGATTTGACTTACAGTAAAGTGTTAGTCACTAAGATCTAAAGAGATATTGTAAAGAACCAGGGTCTATGTACTCCATTCTCCTCTAACCTCCTCTGTGATCACTAACCTTCTCAACCTTTATGGTATAACCTGTAATCCAATCACACTGTATTCAGTGGCCAAATAGCCCACCTGGTGTATGTGTGTATGGGGCGGGGGGTATGTCTCTGTGTGTGTGTCCTATCCCGTCAGTACCGATCCTGCAAACCAATAATTGTCTTTCAAGATGTAGCCCAAACAGCACATCTGCAAAGCACTCCCATAGTTAGAAATGGAAGAAGCTATTAATACTTATGTTGTTGTATTCTAATTTATCTGATTACATATCTCTATTTATGTATTTATTCAACAACCAGTAATTGAGCATCAGGCACCAGTAGGTTAGCTTTTTGAGTACCTGGCCTGTGTCTGTCATTCCTATCACGCTAGACCTCAGCACTGTACCTGGCATAAGTTATGTACACAATATCTCTTTGGTGCATGAAACAATGATGGAAAGACAAAACCCAGCTCTTTGATATTCAGGAATGACTATGCTCATTTTGTAGTAAAGAGATGCCTGCCTTTGTATACAAGATTTGTAGGAAATTCACCACAATTTCCTCTTCCCCTTCCCTTCCCTGTTTCTTCCCATCTCCTCCCTCCCCCTCTTCCTTTTTAATAAATTACTCTTATTATCAGGAAGTTATTCTCAGATTGGAATCACACCTCCCATAATTTGAGCATCATTTGGAACCTCCCTTTCTATTCTGTTTTTGAGACAGGATCTCATTCTGTTACTCAGGCTGGAGTGCAGTGGAGTGACCATGGCTCACTGCAGCCCCAGTCTCCCAGGCTCAACCAATCCTCCCACCTCAGCCTCCAGAATAGCTGGGGCTACTGGCATGCACCCCCATGCCCAGTTAATTTTTGTATTTCTGGCAGAGACAGGGATTCATCATGTTGCCCAGGCTGGCCTTGAACTGGTCTCAAGCCATTCTCCTGTCTCTGCCTCTCAAAGAACTGGATTACAGGCATGAGCCACCATGCCCAGCTCTCCCTTTTTTGAAGTTGTAAACATTGCTCTTTGTAACATTTGAAAATTACTCTAACCTTTTGTCAGCCAGTTCCATTCCCGAAAACATGGTGTGAGAATCCCAGTTAACTTTACTGTGCTCATTGAGATTGGTTTTCAAGTCTAGATCTCTTTCAAATATGTTCTCCTGTGTCCTGTTGACGATCTTTGTATCACACTGCAGTTGTGGGTCCAGAAACGTCCCAGCCCTGGTGAAGGTACAGCTGCCACTAAAGGAAGAACTTCCTGCATCTGTTCAGATACACATCCAAGACCACAAAGGTCCTCTACCCACTGTGCAATGCTCCCAATGTGGCTCATCCAGGACTGCTATCGTCAACTCACTCACAAATGCAGACTTCCCTTCTCTTCCATTTGTGTATATTGCTCACAGCTTTCCACTAGGATCATGTTTCCTGACTGCCCCCACCCCCACCCTGACAAATACTGAAAAGGAGTTGAAGTTGGTTTTCCAAGAAACTGTCTTCTCTCACTATTTAGAGAACTGGACATAAAGCTACTTTGTCCAGAGTCCCAAGTACAAAGTCAAATTGTACCTGGCAAAGGGTTTTTAGGAACTACTGATTCTCCCACAGCCTAGTGTCACATACTAAATGCTTTCTCCTTTTATCTTGCTATTCCGAGAGTCGCAAGCCAGTTTCCCATTAAAGTGTGTGCCGAATCTTTCAGTTGTGCTCTGCTATCTACCACCCTAGGGAATGGTTAGCCATTGAATATTCTTCCTCTGGCACTAGGAAAGCAATGAGGCTAGGTAAAACAGGAACGGGGAAGTAACATGTATTGAGGGCCTTTTCTATGGCAGGTTCTGCACTTACGTGCAGCCTTGACCTCCTCGGCTCAAGCAATCACCTCAGCCTCCCTAGTAGCTGAGACTACAGGCACATGCCATCATTTTTTTGAAAGCTTAACAACAGGCACAATTGCTCTCTTCTATGGATAGGTCATACATGGTTTTACCTAAAATCAGGAGTATGGACAATACAACCTTTCAAAGTTTCTTTTGGGTCTATGATTTTTATCATGATAGAATTAATTTAATGAATTGAGGAACAAAGGGCCTTATGCTTCAGGAATTCTACCCATACTGTGTCCATGTGAAATTTTCAGTGCTCTAGATTAAGGGACAAGATTATGCAAACCAAGCAAGTCCTAGCAATTGCTGGCTTGGAACCAGTCATCCATTTTGTACGCCAGCTCTGCTTTTGCCTATCACTGTCCCTGTACATGTCCTGGGTTTTAAGGTATTGATTGATTCAGACCCTTCCAAAGCAGGGAGACCAAGCATGCTGTCTTGACATGCTTTCTTTATTTTACCTTCTAGTCATGTCCTGCAGGGTGGGCAATACAGTATTGCCCCCTTAGCCACATTTTTGCTTTCTGTAGTTTTAGTTACCTAGGGTCAATCTCAGTCTGAAAATAATCACATGAAATATTCCAGAAATGAACAATCCATAAGTTTTAAGTTGCATACCATTCTAAAGGACATGATAACATCTCATGCTTTCTCACGCACCATCCCAAAGGCAGACATAAACTCAGCACGTGTCCACACTGTAGACACTCCCTGCCTTAGTAGCCATCTTGGTTCTCAGGTGGACTGTCCTGATAGCGCAGTGTTTCTGTTAAAGTAACTCTTATTTTACTGAGTAATTGCTCCAAAGCTCAAGAGTAATGGTGCTGGCAATTAGGATATGCCATAAAGAGATGCAATAAAGTGATTAAGTGAAAGAGCGAAAGTTCTCAACTTAATAAGGAAACAACAACAAAAAATGTATGCCGAAGTTGCTAAGATCTATGGTAAGAAAGGACCTTCTATCCATTAAATTGTGAGGAAACAAAAAGAAATTCATGCATACTATACATAGGATGCCAGGGGTCTTGGAAGGCATCCCCTACAGATAAGGGGAGACTATTGTACAGTTTTTACTCACTTAACAATGCAGCACCTATCTAAAGAGAGAAGTCTTGGGCCACAAGATTCCAGATATAAATATACCGAAATCATCAGGATAGCAGATCACACAGAAAACATTCAACAGCTAAGCACAATGTATAACTACCCTACAGATCAAAGAAAGGTTGTGAAACTGAAAAGGACAGAAACAAAGATTAGCAAACAAGTTATGTTTTCCCAAAGACGTAAGTTCTTCCCTTTTTGAAAGTGGAATCTCTTCAGCTACAACGGAATGAAGCACGAAGTCAGTACATTAGGTGTGCAAGTTAATAACCACTTGTTATTAGTTTCTGCAGATATTTAATTTTAATATTTAATAGCAATTTTTATCCTTCTGCCTAATTACCAGGACAGTGAGTTCATGTTTAATTTTGTATTCCAATGTTGAAATGGACTAAAAAACAATGTATTAAAGAAGAAAATGAACACTGATAAAGATAATCTTTTCTCCTCAAACTATTAAGATGCTGATAAACTTTTAGACTATGAGGAAGAGAGGAGTTTGGTTGCCATTGCTGTTGTTTCTACTTTTTTTTATGGGATTTCTACTTGAACGCGTTCAGAGTCTATCAGCAAAGGCAGCAAATTAACTACTGGTTAAGTATTTCACTAAGTTCTGCTTTGCACACAGAAACCCATTTACTGATAGCTTGGCCTCCCTGGGCTATAGAACACAGTCCTGTTGCTTGGAAATTGACAGGACAGCAAAGGCATCCCTCCCTAACAATTTCCTGACAACCTCATGTTCTTGTCATTTAACATAAACAAGTAGAAATCTTCCAAAACCCAAATTAATGTTAATCAACACTCTGTAAAATGTCGATCATATCAGTGTATTGACATTAATACTCTAGCTCACTGGGAGAATAAAGAATGAGCTGCCACTTATCTCTAAGATTAAACAAACATCTTTGCTTTTGCTCTGTCCTATTTCACTAACAAACTCATAAAGAAAGAAAGAGGGCCAGGCACAGTGGTTCACACCTGTTGTCCCAGCATTTTGGGAGCCTGAGGCATGAGGATTATTTGAGCCCAGCCAGGAGTTTGAGACCAGCCTGGGCAACATAGGGAGATGCTGTTTCTATAGAAAACAAAAAATTAGGGCCGGGCGCGGTGGCTCAAGCCTGTAATCCCAGCGCTTTGGGAGGCCGAGGCGGGTGGATCACAAGGTCAACAGATCGAGACCATCTTGGTCAACATGGTGAAACCCCGTCTCTACTAAAATTACAAAAAATTAGCTGGGCACGGTGGTGCGTGCCTGTAATCCCAGCTGCTCGGGAGGCTGAGGAAGGAGAATTGCCTGAACCCAGGAGGTGGAAATTGCGGTGAGCCGAGATCGCGCCATTGCACTCCAGCCTGGGTAACAAGAGCGAAACTCCGTCTCAAAAAAAAAAAAAAAAAAAAAAAAGAAAAAAAAAAATTAGCCAGGCTTGGTAGTGTATGCCTGTAGTCCCAGCTACTTGGGAGGCTGCAGCAGTAGGATCAATTGAGTCTGGGGAGGTCAGGACTGTAGTGAGCTATGATTGTACCACTGCACTCTAATCTGAGTCACAGAATGAGACCCTGTCTTAAAAAAGAAAGAGAAAAGAAAGAAAAGGAAATAGAGAGAGAGAAAGAAAAATGTACAAGCTGAAACTCTGCCAAACCTGCTAGAGAAGGAACAAAGACAAATCCTCGAAATGCATGAGGAGGCCTGGGGAGGGTAGGTAGGAGTGGAGCAGGCTGATTAAAATCAGGGCCTTCCTCACATCTCTTTTAAAAAATGAAGCAAAACTCTGTTGTCTGTCCTGAATCTGTTGGCTGTAGCCGCAGCTTTGAGGAGTGGTGCTGATCAAGTGGCCTCACGGCGTTTCTGCAGTCTGGGCAAGCACAGCCTGATGGAATGATGCGGCAGTGATTTTGTTCTTGCTTTTCTGATGGGTCCCTGAGGGTGATTCTGAGTAATTGTGCCTCTGTTCCTGCAGCTGCGATGGGGCGGTCCTCTCTTCCTCCTTCCCATGAACTCACTTCAACACTGAGAGGCTGTCTCTTCAGAGCAGGTGGTTTGCAACCCCTTGCCCTGGTCGGGGCTCCTCCAAGGCATATTTTCACACATCTTGTAGTCTCATCTGGGTATGGGTGTGAACAGAGGGCAAGCACAGATGAAATGGTGTTGCTGAATAAAAGAATGTGCTACCCAGGAGGCATGACCAGTATTTAATTTGCTGCCTGTGTTCAATAGACTGTGAGCTCCTCAAGGGCAGGGACTATGTCTCATTTGTCTTTGTACCCTCGGTGACTAACACACATTCATTTGTTCATTCATTTATTCAACAAACATTTACTGAGAGCTGGAGGTCCAAGATGAATAAGGCACAGGCTTCAGCAAAGAAGTAGACATTTCATTTGCCCCACAGGCTGTATTGCCATGGAATAAATTTACAGAACATTGCAAGATACACAAATATATACTCTAAAGAAAAAATGCAAAAGCTGAACTGTCTCATTCATAGACTAATGCATGTCAAAGATGAATGGGAGCTGCTTTTATATAGATTAGAAAACCAATTGCCAGGGATGACAAATTCTTGATCTTATGCTCTCTTTACTTTGAGCGAGGGGCCCACGAAGATGAAGGATTTCAAGTAGACATTTCATTTGCTCTCTGTATCGTTCTTGCCCTTACAACTCAATTTTGTCATGTACATATTCATACACACATATGTATACGTATATTATTATTTTTAATGTTTTAATTTCCTGTTAGGTGCGGTGGCTCATGCCAGTAATCCCAGCACTTTGGGAGGCTGAGGAGAGCAGATCACTTGAGGCCAGGAGCTTGAAACCAGCCTGGCCAACATGGTGAAGCCCTATCTTTACTAAAAATAAAAAATTAGCTGGGCGTGGTGCTGCATGCTTATAATCCCAGCTGCTTGGGAGGCTGAGGCAGGAGAATCACTTGAACCCAGGAGGCTGAAGTTGCAGTGAGCCAAGATTGTGTCACTGTACTCTATCTTGGGTGACAGAGTGAGACTCTGCCTCAAAAAAACTTTTATTTCCAAAACCTTACATAATTCCATGCTCTCTAGGCTGCAATTTAAATAAAGATTATAACCCAAATTCCTACAGGAGCCAGGATATAAAACAAATAAAGTAAAGCCAGAGAAAGGAACAGGGGTTAGAAAAGAGCACACTGGGAAGAAATTTTCTTGTCTCAGTTATCTATTCTAAATTTGTGGCTTAAAACCATCATTTTACTTTGTTCACACTTTTGTGGGTGGGGCATTTCTGCAGGGCTCAGCTGGGTGGCTCATCTCTGATCCTTGTGACATCACCTCATGGGGGATGATGAATGAATGGCTTCTTCATTTGTGCATCAGGCATCTTAGTGCTCCTTGACCTTTCTGTCTTTCTCCATATTGTTTCTCCCTCTAGGGCCTCTTCCTGTGGCTTGACCTTCTCACAGCATGGTGGTCTCAGGGTAGCTGGCCTTGTGACATGGTGCCTCACTGCCCTGAACACATGTCCCAACAGACAGAAAGTGAGCCCGTGCATGCCCAGCTTAGCCTCACTTCTCGTATTTCACTGATAAGAGCAGTCACCAAGCCTTCCCAGATCCCAGAGGAGCAAACCTAGACTCCACCTCTCAAGTAAATAAACGTTAAATAATTCACAAACATCTATGTGCCATAGTCTAAGAGAGCACCTCTATACGCCACATTATTGCATTGTGTGACTGAATCTATATCTGAATCTGTTCAGGCTGCACCATAGACAAACTGGGTGGCTTATAAACAACAGGAATTTATTTTTCATTGTTCAAGAGGCTAAAAGTCTGGGATCAGGATGACAGTGTGGTCAGGCTCTGGTGCCAGCTGTCTTCTGAGCTGCAGATGCCAACCTCTCCTTGTGTCATTGCAGAGCAGAAAGCAAGTGAGAGAGCTCTCTGGGAGCTTTTATAAGGGCACTGATCCCACTCATGAGGGCGCCGTTTTCAAGACCTAAGCACCTCCCAAAAGCCACACCTTCAAATGCCATCACATTAGGATTAGTGTTTTGATGTATGAATTTTGGGAGGGCACAAACGCAGTATATGACAGGCTCAGTGTGAAAATAGTTTAAATTTTAAAAATAGAAGGTAAACAATTATATTTTAAATTGTTGAAATCTGGTTTTAAATATTGGTAACTAATTCAAATTTTCTGAAACCCTCTGTGTGGCAGATATCCATATTCACAGAAATTGTCCGTGCCCACAAATATGTACCCTCTGCTTAAAGCACTAAACTAAATTCTTATTAAACAGTTTTAAAATTCCAAGTACAGTGGTTCACTCCTGTAATCCCAGCACTTTGGGAGGCTGAGGTGGGTAGATCACCTGAGGTCAGGAGTTTGAGACCGATCTGGCCAACACTGTGAAATCCCATCTCTACTAAAACTACAAAAAAATTAGCTGGGCATGGTGGCAGGAGCCTGTAATCCCAGCTACTCAGGAGGCTGAGGCACGAGAATTGTTTGAACCCCAGAGGGAGAGGTTGCAGTGAGTGAAGATTACACTACTTCACTCCAGCCTGGGTGTCAGAGCAAGACTCCATCAAAAAGAAAAAAAATTAAGACTGTCATTATTGGGAACTATTTTGCCTACAACTTAAAATAAAAATCTTAAAAGCATTTCACTGTCTTTGATAAGAGACTTGAAACCCACCAACAGTAGATAAGGAATCTTTCTATATAACTCTTATCATGTCTACAGGAGAATATCAAATGTCTCCTACTCTGAAATTTCCCTTTTCCCATTTCTGTCTTGGCCAAATTACAGTCTGATGAAGAATATAGTGAGTTTCATTTCTTGTTGAATTTGACTAAGAACTAGCAATATAAGATGATGATGGAAGTACTGACTTAATGCCCCACAGGAAAAATAAAAAAACCAAAAGGAATCCCAGAAACTGAGTAAGTCACTGATATAAATAGCCCCAAATCCAGATTAGTAGTTCTCAAACGCTAGTGACAGAACTGCCTTCTGACCCAGAAGGACTAGGAAATGTCCCAAGAATCTTCACTTTCAATTAATTACACTAGAGGATTCTGATGTAGGTGGGCCATGAACTGCATTGCTGGTATTCAATTACATGACCAGGCTTTTGACAGAGAGAAAAATGGGCACAGCTTTAGTCAGGATGTTGCCTCCTTTGAGGAGTTGGTGGTGGAGGTGGTAGCAATGCAGTCAAGATAAGAATGTATAGGGTGGGCCCTGTTTCCCTGACTCAGTATGGAAAATGTGCTAGGAGTAGGAAATAGGGGTTCTAGCTCTAATTTATTATTGGCCAACTAAGTGAGCTCACAAGAGTCATTTCCCTTCTCAAGACCTCAGTTTTCTCATCTGTAAGATGAGGGGCGTTGGCCTGGGCTCCAACAATGGCAAGTGCAATTCCCCACATCCCACTCAGGAGGCAGGTCCTGCTCACCCTGTGCACCAGTCTTCCCCAATTCTCCTCTACTTAGCCACGTCCAACAGAGTAAAGTTAGCAAATGGGTTAAAACCAGTTTTCTCGCCTTGATGGAGGATCTCAGTGATAAAGCTCTTTCTCTTCCTGCTTATGTGGCTACACGGTAGTTTTGGAGAGAAAATCTGGTGAAAAAAAAATCAAGAAAGGTAGTTTGGAGGGGAGAAAATAGTTCTGGGGACAGATGCTAACCGAAAATGGTGCCATGCAAAAACTGACAGGGGAGTAGTATCTAGCAGCCTGCAAGCGAGTCCCGGCCCTATTTTGGTTAACATGACAATGAAGGTCTTTGTGGTTTCCTCTCGAGTATCCCACCTCCCAGGACAATCAACAGGAGGGGCTGGGTTGGGATTAGAGTGAGCAAATTTGTGGTCTTGTACATACATAAACTTGAGAGTAAGTGCCTCTTTACATTTTAGGCCAAGCCTTCTGCTTTCCTTACCTCATCCTGGCCTTAAAGGGGAGTATATTAGAACAATAGAGTTGCAAGCTCACTGTGAAGTTTCCAGGTCTCCCATAGACCCCTTGGGCCAAGTGGGGGTGCACTGTGTAGAGGAGAAAATGCAAACAGATCAGGCCAGACTAGGCCACGACTTCTGAGGGGCACTCAATATAATGGACAAAAGCTTTGAATCTATATTGGGCTAGCTGTGCAACTTTGGTTAAGTTACTTAACATCTAAGTTTCAGCTCTCTGATTGATAAAGGGGGAATAAGAATATCTTCTTGGCAGGGAGGTTGTAAAGATTGAGAATGTACATATATATACGTGGAACTTGGCACAGAGTACGTGGTCATTATATGGAAATTCCTTCCTGAATTCGAGCTTCCATTCTGCCTCTAGTGACTGCCAGGAAAATAAGCAAGCTAGCAACAGCAAACTTCAAGCCAAACATAGATATGGAAATCCATGTCCCTGTGCAAAGGAAGCCCTGTAGGTCTTTGTATTCATTGTTGACTTTCTGACTCACTGTTGCATTCTGTTTTAACTCCCCCATCCCGCTCAGGTTGAACCTAATGTGGGAAGGTTGACAGGACAATGCTGGAACCTTACCCACTAGGAAAAATCTCCCAGGGGTCAGAGTTCCAGGGAGAAAACATCACAAAGGCTTGCATCATAGGCCAACTTCTTAAAAATTATAGGTACCATCTCCTTTTATGTTAGTGTGTGCTTGGTCCAGTGCTGAGCACTTTATAAACATTATGAAAGTCAGACCTTGCAACATTGTAAGAGGTAGATATAACTATTTCCAGTTTAGAGATGAGGAAAGAGAGGCTAATTTGGCTAGTAAAATGCAGAAGTGGGATATGAACTGGATTTGTTCCTGAGCTCGTAACCATTGTTTCCTATAGATCATTCATCACTCTGGAAATGGAAACAACACAGAAGAGTCCCCAGCTCTCATGCAGGATAATAGCGCTGGTATGTGATAAAGGACAGTATAACACAGCATGTCATAGCTCAATTAGACAGTAAACTCCTTGAGGGCAGGGACTTGCTTTATTCTCTTTGGTATCTCCATTTTTTAGTGTAATGAATGACTCTCAGCAGGAGCTCAATCATTGTGTCTTGGATGTATGGTCAGCCACATAATGACATTTCAGTAAAAACTGAATCACATATACAATGGAGGTCCCATAAGATTATAATGGAGCTGAAATATTCCTATCACCTGGTAACATCATAGCCATTGTAACATTACAGTATAATTATTATGTTTATAAATTTAGTGTAGCCTAAGTGTACAGTGTTTGTAAACTCTACAGTAGCGTTCAATGTCTTAGGTCTTCACAATCACTCACCACTCACTCACTGACTTATCCAGAGCAACCTGCACTCTTGCAGTTTTCATTCATAGTAAATGAATATGAGGGTACCATTTTTACTTTTTTATCCTGTGTCTATACTGTACCTTTTCTAGGTTTCAACATGTTTTGATATATGAATATTCACTATTGTGTTAAAATTGCCTACAGTATTCAGTACAGGCTGTACAGGTTTGTGGCCTGGAGCAACAGATTATACCACATATCCTAGGTTTGTAATGGGCTATACCGCCTACGTTTCTGTAAGCATATACTGTGATGCTCACACGATGAAATTATCTAATGATGCATATCCCAGAACATGTTTCTGTCATTAAGTGATGCATGACTTTAGAAGCAAATAAAGTGATATATGCCAAGGTGTACGGTATAGACAGAGATACTGGTGAGAATTCACAGATTCAAAAAGGTTGGTATGGTACAATGAGGAGGGCCAACTTCACAGAGGACAGAGTAGAATCTGAGCTGAGATTTGGAGCGGTCCAAAAGGACAAAGACATAGAAGAAACACATAAATGAAGGCATGATGAAGCATAAGTGTAGGGTGTTGAGACAGTGAGGAAGACAAACTGCTTAGAGAATTATCTGTTCAACTAGCCGGTGGTGCAAGGAGCCATTTAAACCACTAGTCCCTGGTGGCTTGTTGGAGTAAGACTGTATTAACTGGAAACAGGTCAAGAGCCGTGAAAATAAGGTCAAAGGACAGGGTAGGTTGGCCTAGGCTTAAAAAGTAGGGGAGTAGACAGGAGCCAGCTAGATTGCAGGAGACACATTTCTCCACCCATGGTAGAGGATATGCAAATATAACTTTTGGTATCTGGAAAATACATAAAAGGAAGACAAGTCAGCTGAGGAGGAGGAGGAGGAGGAGGAGGAGGAGGAGGAGGAGGAGGAGGGGGCGGAGGATCAGGAAAGGTGCTGGGAGAACGGATGCTAGGGACAACCACCGTCTCCATTCGGCTTTTCCTGCACTGCAGCAGCCTACCTGCTCTCCAGAGACCCTTGATGCATCTATTTATTCTATAAAATAAACTCAGGGAAATCATCATTATTGAGGGATGTCCCAGGCTCAGGCATGAGACCCCAAAAGCCATACAATCCCTTTAGTAGGGTTTTCTGATTAGATGTAGTAAACAAACTTTAGAAAACTGGATATAATTTTATTATAGTTTTATATACATGCTAATATACATTTATACAAATAATTTTAATATGGGCTAAAGAGCTAAGTCTAAAAATGGAAGACCATAAAGGATGGTTATGTCTTGAGGCTGTTTCCATGCTTATCTTTCCCAGAAAGATGACAGAATTGTACCAGTTAGTTTTGCTCTCTCAATATATATTCAATCTACGTGTCCCAGGCAGGAAGAAGGCGCTACTCCACATGAGCCTTCAGAACCCTAACGTTTTTCACCGAAAGCCCAGAATAATTATGTGAGCTAATCTCTGCCTCTAACTTATGGGATTGAACAGTTTTTCAGGGCTTACATTGCATCCTGAACCTGATGACCCATGAGATGTTAAAAGGCACTGAGAAGGAAATAATTTTCTGGATGTGATGGGGGTCTCTAAGAGCAGCCCAGGTTCTGTTGGGAGAACTCACAGGACTCAGCACACAGTTGTACTGATGGCTAAGATTTACTACAGAAAAGGATACAAAGCAAAATCAACACAAGGAAAAGGCACCTGGGACAGGGTCCAGAGAAAACCATGTGTGAGCAAACAAGAGTCCTTCCTTAGTAGAGTCACACAGGATGTGTTGACTTCCTCCAACAAGGAGTCGTGACAACACATGTGAAATGTTTACCAGGCCAGCTCATCAGAGACTCAGTGGCAAAGGTGGCTGCTGTTGATGTTGTTGGCAAAGACAGGGACTTGCTCTGTTGCCCAGGCTGGAGTATAGTGGTACAATTATTCCTCATTGTAGCCCCAAACTCCCAGCACATGGGAATCTCATGCCTTTGTACCCCTTTAACCCCATGGCCCTCCTTGAATAGCTGGGACTACAGGCACACAATACCATGCCTGGTTAATTTTCTAAAATCATTTTGTAGAGATAGTGTTTTGCTGTGTAGCTCAGGCTGGTCTTGAACTCCTGGGCTCAAGTGATCCTTCTGCCTTGGCCTACCAAAGCATTGGAATTACAGGCATGAGGCCCTGGGCCCAGTGTCAGTGCCCAAGGTTTTTACTGTGGATCCTTCCTAGCATGTATCAAAATTCTAGGCTCCCAGCAGGAAAGCAAGAGTTCAGCATAAATGATGCTGTTTATACAAACAGTTCAGGCACAGTGCAGCATTCTGGTCAGAGAGCTGTGGGAACCCTACCGAAACCCGAGTTTCTAGACAACAGCGGGGGCCAACCTTGCGATCAGGACTTTCTAAGGAAAACAATCTAAGCCCTTCTATGTTAACTGCTTTCTCCACAATGATCTCAAATATGTGGAAAATGTGGGGAAAAGTGGGAAAAGTCTTCAAAAAATGGCTACCTTTTGAAGATTAATAACGCATATTAGCATATTAAAGGGTTTGAGAAGTACTACATTACAAAGGCTGTTTTTTAAACGTATATTTTCCAAACTATTTGACCATAATAATATATGTTTTAAAAAGAACACTTATAACATCCTGTTGATACAAATGTTCTACAGAATAAAGTTTGGGAGATCCTGGACTAAATGGATAAAGCTCCATCACTTGTCTGGCCTCAGTTTTCACCATCATTAAACACACTAGTAATAATAAGCTCTTACATAGCTCTTACTGTGTGTTAAGAGCTTTTTTTAAATATAATAACTCATTTAATCAGAGGTTGAACTAGGTTACCTCTAAGCCTGGCAAAGCCACACAGTCAGGGATTAAGAGTGCATGCACTGAATCTGACTGCTCGGGCTAGTTTCCCAGCTGTGCCAGTGATCAGTTGTAGGGAAAACTCCTTAACCTTAGTGTGTCTCAGCTTCCTTACCTGTAAAATGAGAACAGTGCTTAGTACACACTAACACTGCTACAAAATGTGCTTTTTTTTTGAGGCAGGGTCTCGCTCTATGGCCTAGAATGGAGTGCAATGGTGCCATTTCAGCTCACTGCAGCCTCTGCCTCCCAGTCTCAAGTGATCCTCCCACCTCAGCCTCCTGAGTAGCTGGTACTACAGGCATGTGCTACCATACCCAGCTAATTTTTGGTAGAGACAGGGTTTTGTCACCCAGACTTGTCTCGAACTCCTGGCCTCAAGTGATCTACCTGTCTCAGCCTCCCAAAGTGCTGGGGTTATAGGTGTGAGTCACAGTGCTTGATTGCTTATTACTTTTTAAAAAAAGCAAATGAAGTTCTTTCCAGCTCAAGCAGTTTTGATCCTTTGCTCCATGCTATGAATCACAGGAAGGCACAGACAACAATCTTATGGCTTCAGAGACTATAGATGAGCTGGTCAGATGAGAGTGGCCTGAGGGAACCAGATCAGCCCCAGGTAGAGTTGGGCCAAGAAAGCCCTGACACCCAAGGCCAGTCAAAGCCAGAAGCCAGTTCCAGGGAGTAAATGCAGACTGTCACAGGCCAAGAGGCACCATTAATTTCCTGGGAGTCTAGGACCGAGGCCAAGAACAGAAGTGATCTGCTTTTGACTGTAAATAGAGCAAGACTCTAAACAGCCTTGAATTAAACCTGGCAATTTTATCCATAGGCTTGGAGAAAGGTACCTCATAAGAAAATCCCCTCTGAATCAAGAGTCATACACATCTTCATGGTAGAAAAAAGAACAGGGAAAGATGCCAAATTGAAAAGTGACAAACTGCCACTAGAATAAGCCAATTTTTAATATGCCTTAACACTTTTTTTTACCCTTCTCAGGCTATCTCCAGTTGAAGAATGCTCTGTATAACTGAATAATCCTTCATCGAGATATATGAAAAGTCAGCCATGCCATCCTGGCAAATGAAGGACAGTGATTTATTTTGTAGTATGTAGACACAGGTGGGTGTAAATGTATGGAGGGGGACCCCTCAGTGTACAAGGTGTGATGAAACAGTTGCTGAATGCTGAATACAGAACTTTGAAAGGGCTTGCTGAAGAAACTGGTTCTCCTTGAGACAATCTTAGGTTTGTCATGTCCATAATTGCTCCCAAAGGTATTTCCTGTTCGCTGCCTTCCTCACGTTATTCTATTGTTTAAAGTTGGGATCTAGAACATTCCACAGGCTTCCATGATGCTGTGCTTATCTACCCCTAACTAACACACTAAGCTTAGTACTTGGCACATAGTATATGCTCAATAAAAGTGCACTGAATAAATGAAGAACCTTCATTTCCAGACCCTTCTACATTGAACGTCCAACCTTTGTCTCTTTACCTAGCAATATCAGGTGCAGCAAAGCTTGTTTCCTACCTGAGTTCTGTCTGACTCCTTCAGGTAGTACCTATTTTCACAGTACAGAGCACTTTGTGGATTATAACAAGAGCCACCTGCTGGGCACTGTGCCTCACACCTGTAATCCCAGCACCATGGGAAGCCAAGCTGGGAGGATCTCTTGAGCCCAGGAGTTTCAGGCCAGCTTGGGTAACATAGTGAGATCTCATCTCTACAATAAACTGAAAAGCTAGCCAGGCGTAGTGGTGCTTGCCTGTAGTCCCAGCTTCTCAAGGGGCCACAGGAGGAGGATTGTTTGAGCCCAGGAGGTCAAGGCTGCAGTGAGCTGTTACCAACCTGAGCAACAGAGTGAGACTCTGGCTCAAAAACAAAAGCTACCATTGTGGGAGCCCTTCACCTATTATCCGCTCTCTTCCTCCATACAATCACCTGTAAGATCAGTCCTTTACTCCTTTTATTTTACTGGTTAGTGAGGCTAAGAAAAGAAAGGAACTTTCCCTAGGTCCCATAGTAGGGAGTGGCAGAACTTCCTTTTCTAGCTGCTTCAATCACAGCATTTACCTCCTCATGCTGCGGTTTGTCATGGCTTAACCATTTATAGTGTATGTCAACCCTAACTTGACAGCAATGTTAATTAAAACAATAAAACCAAGGGTTTTATAGTCAGATAGATCTGAGGTCAAGCTCCAGCCCCTGTGATTCCTGTGTCTTGGTGCCTTGTTTCCTCCCTATAAAATGGAAATTACAGAAGAACCTACTTCCTGGTGTATATTGTGAGAATAATGAGTTAAAAGAATGTGAAGTGCTTAACTAAGTGCCAGCCACAGATTTTAATTAATACTAATACTCATTTAAAGGTAGGTTTGATAACCACAGTGCCTAGGATTTGCTTGAGGCTTAGTCGTGTTAGACAAATGTCTATGAAGCGAATGACTACCTTACATGTCTTTATTTGGGGATACAATGCAATAAGGCCCACATAAAAAGGCTAACCGTATTTTGATTGCTTCAAAACAGATATTCTCATGTCTAGGATGCGAGCTTCATAAAATATGTGTGGTTTGGTGTATAGATCATAATACAGTAGATTCTTAATAAATGCTGTACCCAAACAGCCATATTCACAATGGGAAACCTGTCTACCTCTTATGAGCTAGTCCTTTTCCATTTTACTTTTCTCAGTGTCATTCATACTGATATTTTACTTCAGTTCTTTTGATCACATCCAAGCCTCTTCCTGAAATGTCTCTATGACAATCTCTTAAGTCAAGAATGCAAAATCTACTCTTTCTCACCACATGGGACATGAGTCTCCAATATTTAATTTTTCCTTGGCTACATCCTTATGAGCTATATGGTTCTTTTTCTTCTAAATATTAATGCAAAAAGATGCTTACTTTGGCAAATTTGTATCTCTGTAATTTATTAAGTACAATGAAGGCACCAACTACACATGAATTATAGTCGACACTTCGTGAAATGGTCTGATCATCTCACAGTGATCACGGGGGACAGGAGATGTCTCCAGGCAGCAAGGGACTTATTTCTCAACTCTGCCTTCGGTTGTTGCTGACTGGATCAAAGCTGGGTCAATTAGAGTTGCCGTCCAGGGAATCTGGATTTGGGATGGGGAGGGGCAGAACATACTCCTTTTATTTTACGGGAAAGTGAGGCTAGGAAAAAAAAGGAACCTGCCCAAGGTCCTATAGTAGGGAGTGGCAGAACCTCCTCTGTAGCTGCCTCAATCATAGCACTTACCTCATTGTGCTGTGGTTTGTCATGGTTTAACCATTCACTAGAGTATGTCAACCCAACCTAACAACAATGTTATCAGGTTATATATGTGTATATAAAATTGACATACTCTAGTGAGACTAAGAAAGAAACTTGCCCAAGTTCCTTTCTGGGAGCAGAACGTTAAGAAATTGAGAGAGTTCTGAGGGCTCTGGCCACAGCCAGTCAACTTGAAAGGAGTAGGAAGTCATCTTCTGCCATTCTGTGAATTGACCTGCGGAATGCATCTAAAAAAATGAAGAATAGATTGAGAGAAAAGCAGAAACAAGGGAAAATGAGAGCGGATCATCTGAATTCTTGTTGGTTTTCCAGTTTGCAGTTTTCATTCTTCCCGAAGCCTTGCTGACTCTTTGTCTTGAAGCCCTGGTGAAGACTCCTTCTGTATGTACATTAAGACTATCCAAGCAACACCCATTGTTTTGTCAAAGCCACCATGAGTTGATTTCCGTTCCTTGCAACCACAAGAATCCTAACTTATGAGTAGCAAAACTACGAGTACAATTAGAGTTATCAACAATAATCCTTTATTCATTTAACACTGTGCATATTTACAAACTGCTTAGTATTATTAATATCTGCTACAAGCAAGTACTACAGTAATGCTGTTGAAGCAATCATCCAAGAACTAATAATTCGGTAGCAGATGAAGGTTAAAAAGCAAGCCTGGAACAGGGAGTGGATTTACTGAAATGAAAAGTAATATGAGAAGTCATCAAATCACGGAGATAATTTCGTTTACAAGAGTCCATCATGGTCAAATGGTTGTAGATCAGTAAGACAGCAAGGGGAAATTCTCTCTATTAGGAAAGAATAAAACCATGAAACAGATGGATTGCTGTTTTAAAGATTAAAATTACAAGAGCACACACAACCAGCTATGCTTAGGTGGTTCAGAAAAAAAGAAAAAGGCCTACCATCTCCATGGTCCCTAAGAAATATGTACCATTCTTACAGATGCCAATAAAGCATTATACGACTGTCAATTTAGTAATGGAAGTGTCACCAAAGATTCATATTTAACTGAGACCAAATGTAATAGACAATGGGGAAAAGTGGTTGGTGGGAATCTGAATTAACTGTGTTTGAGAAAATAATTGAGGCAATAAAAAGATCAATAGGAAATCAGGCCACTCTCCAGTACCTCAGGGTTCCTCAGAGGAATATTTTAAAAGAAGAGCATTTTATTGACTCGTCTCATTTTTAATGCAATAAGAAATGCAGGCAAGGTGCCTGGTCACTGTAGAAAGGGGTACACATAAAGACCTATGCTAACTGTAGAGCCAGCAAATGACTAATAAAAAGGACCTAGCCATATACCTCTCTCTACTGAACGTAGCCCTGCAGGTATGTCATAAAACAACAGAAACACTGTTCCACATCCTAAAAATATGATAATAATGTTGCTTTCGAAAATTTGGAAAACCTGAGAGAATACAAAGAAAATAAAAATCACCTTAAACCACCATCCAGAGATACCACTGTTAAAACATTGCTGCATTTATTTTTTTTTGTATGTATAAAATTACATACTTATATTTTATTGTATATACACTACTAAATACAATATTTTGATCTTTCTGTGATGTTTTCATATTCTTTTCACTTAATATCTATTGAGCACGTTCTCTTGCCATTACATGTAATTTCAGTGCTGCATCACATATCATTGTATGGTTTTGTCATAATTTAACCAACATTAGATATTAAACTGCTTTAAGTATTTGCTATGAAGTTAATGTTTGTGTCCCACAAAAAAAATTTCTATGTTGAAACCTGAATTCTCAGAGATGGCATTTGGAGACAGGGCTTTAGAGAGGTAATAAGGTCACGGGGGGTGGAGTCTTTAGGATGAGATTAACACTGTGTAAGAAGAGACAGGAGAGAAATTCCTTCCCCTCTCTCCTCCAAGTGAGCCAACTGGCTACAAATGAGGGCCCTCACCAGGCACTAGGTCTGCGGGCAACTTGATCTTGGACTGTCCAGCCTCTGGAACCCTGAGAAATAAAGTTTTGTGATTTAAGCTACCCAGAAAATGGTAGTTTTGTTACAGCAGCCCAAACTAAGACAATTTTTTTTAAACATTAAGAGAGGAAATGAGTGTGGTTTATTTCCTTTCCCCGCCCCTCCCCCGCTATCCATTCTTGCCTCTTCAGTCCAGCTCTGTGCCATGGAAGTGCTGGGCCCTGTGGACTATGTAGCCTGCATCCCATACCCTCTAGCTTCTGGATGCATTTAGCCAGTGAGTGGTATCAGTGGGAGGCAGGAGGTGAGAGGTGAGTCTATTCTTTCCTCTTTCCTCTCCGGTTGCACCTGATGGTTGTGGCACTGGCTGCCGGGCTCTGAAATGGTTCCTCCCTCCCGGCAGGCAATTGACCCCTCCTCCAAGGCTCCAGCTCTGCTCAGAGCTCCTTATCACATGCCCACACTTTTGCCACTTAGGCTTCTGCCTTGGTTGTTCTGGGGTGACTTAACAACCCTTGTGAGTTCCTTTAACCTCTGCTAAGTAATCGCCTCTTTGAATTCTCTTTAGATTCCCATCTGACTGGTATTAAAAATTTCCATGAACAACTTGTACATTGCAAATGATGACTCTGTGGAAATCATTTATTTATAAAAGGCATAAAAAAGTTAAACACTACACAACCCCTATTTCAAATAATGAGAGGTTTGGTGCTAGTAAAATATTCACAACAAACATGTAAAGTAGAAGAATGGTCTAGATTCTAGAACCTTCTTCCTGAATATATTCAGAAAGCTTCTCTCATCTTGGGTTCCCTCAATTCCTTTTCCTCTATAATTTTCATAAACCATATACCTCTTCCTTCCTCCTAGCCTTTGCTCATGCCCCTAAATGGAGTTTTCTTCCAACTTCCTCCTTGTGTCTAAGCTCAGGCTACTTCCCTTTCTGAATTCTTGGGAGTCCACACCATCTCTCCTCAGAATTACTGAAGCTATGCTGTTCAGTACGGCAGCTGGCAGCTACCTGTGGTTATACAAATTAAAATAAATTGTAAAGTCAGCTCCTAGTCACACTCACCACAACTCAAGTGCTCAACAGGCACGTGTCGTTAGTGGCTGCTATACTGGACAGCGCAGAACTGGAACATTTCCATCACTTCACAAGTTCTACTGCTCAGAGGTATTCCAGAACACTTAATTATACATGGCGCAAATGAGAATTAAATCGTAGATATTCTTGTATTGTTCTCCAGTTAAATCACATTTGCAGAATCCAGAAATAAGAGGAGTCTGCCTTGCTTCATTCATTTGAGTCCGTAGAGTGCTTGGCATCCAGCAGGTACTTAGTAAACATACTATCTGACTTGGATAATAACCATGAATATTTCTCAGTAGGACATTTAAAAATACCACTATGGAAAACAGTGTGGAGATTCCTTAAAGAACTAAATGTAGATCTGCTATTTGATCCAGTAATCTTACTACTGAGTATCTACCCAGAGGAAAAGAAGTCATTATATGAAAAAAAATACTTGCAGATGCATGCTTATATCAGCATAATTTGCATCTGCAAAAATATGGAACCAGACCAAATGCCCATCAATCAACAAGGAGATAAAGAAATGGTAGTGTATATACATATGATGAAATACTACTCAGCCATAAAAAAAGGAATGAATTAATGGCATTTCCAGCAACCAGGATGGAACTGGAGACATTATTCTAAGTGAAGTAACTCAGGAATGGAAAACCAAATATTGTATGTTCTCACTCATAAGTGGGAGCTAAGCTATGAGGATACAAAGGCATGAGAATGATATAATAGACTTTGGGGACTTGGGGGGAAGGGTGGGAGGTGGATGAGAGATAACAGACTGCAAACTGGATTCAGTGTATACTGCTTGGGTGATGGGTGAACCAAAATCTCACAAATCACTACTAAAGAACGTACTCATGTAACGAAATATCACCTGTTCTCCAAAAGCTATGGAAATGAAAATGATTTTTTAAAATAAGGAACTACTGACAATTACCGCAAAGGTATAGAGCAGGCAGGCAGACTAGATAGTTTGGAGGTAGTGGTGGGGATTCTTCCCATCCCAGAAAAACTAAAAAACTCTCTATCCTCTAAAACATCCTCTTTATGTACACAGAAAGAATTTTCTAAAATATTAGAAATGATTATCCAACAAGCTAGACAGTCTGATCAAAGGAAATCATTAAAAGGGTAAAAATTCATATCTCTATACAGAAGCTTACATACACCACCCACTAGACTTGTTCACAAAAAGTGAAAACTGTCTTTTGATATTGGTACACCTTTGACTGTGATTCCAGTTGACAAAAAAATACTAGCCTGTGTCTGAAGCAATTTAATGGAAGTGATAAAGCTATATACCCTAAATGATCCCCTCTCTTATCTTGCTGGCTTGAGAATTTTCACAAAATTTCAGTGTTTGATTTATTGGAATAGCCGTATAAAATACATACTTCATCCTTACATTAATGTCTGTATGTTCTCAGAAGTAAAATCACTTACTATATACTATTTATTGAGATCGGTGCTAATAATGACTTTGGAAAAATATCCTTCTTAATCCTGAGAGCAACTCTCTGAGGTAGGTATTTTTTTTTCTCATTTTGTTGAAAAGAAAACCTACCTTCAGAGAGAGATCTGCCATTTGCCTAAGGTCATAGTGAGTGACAGAGTTGGGATGCCAACTTAGATTCTTTGACTCCCAAGACCACAGTGAGCCACTCTGTGATAGTTTATTCCACTGTTGACAAACATAATGCTGGAAATGGGAGCTGGTGTAGGGCACCACCACCTGGCACTGAAATGCTGTTTGTGGTCTCTTTTCC